TTTTTTCACTTGTGCCTTTCAGGTGAACGACAGTCACTGACCGACAAGAACAAAACCGACCCGGGAAACTTGGGCAAAAGCCTCGATCCTGTGTATCAATCCATGAATCCGTTAGTCTCCCGTTCTCCCCATCGCTGTTAACAAAGTCCCTACCAGTCACCTGCATTGATTGCCAGCCATCCCACTCATCCTCTGGGATGGGCGTAAGCCAACCGCTTTAGGCGCTTCGTGTAATAGTTTTGAAAAGGGTTTTTGCGATCTGCAATTTTCCCCCATAACAATATTCATCCAAGCACCTGCCGGCTAATCTCTTCCTTTTAGCAAATTAATATCCACACGGTGCATGGCCGCCGCTTCAGCCGCAGCTATGCGCTATCCTAATCCCTAGTCTTCGGTCCCGTTCAAAATTTTCAAACGATAAAACGAACAATGGCAACTTGAACGGTCACCCATTTCACTAACTGGATCCTTACGGTGCTGCAAAAGAATCTCACAAACCTAAGCGTATTTTGCACTATCTCTGTGGTCTGTGACAGATCGTCCCGTATCTTTAAACACCTTATCAAGCCTTGGGACCCGTAACTCGTTACGTTAACTACTAAGCGCTTCAGTCTTACTGCTGACTTGCCATTTTACTCCCAATATGGCAGCATATTTTTCTCTGATATCGTACCCAATGCAACAGGCACCTCATTGGCAGCCCTCGCGGAAGGTTCAAGTCTGAACATACGCCACAGCAAAAGTAACACCCGGAAGACTAGTGCACGAGACTACGTTTGGCACTACTACGGTATACCATCTTAGTGAGCACTACTACGTAGTCATTCTCGGCAAAGTAGTAGCCCTTTTTCCTGCTGTTGTTTCCATGCCAACGGATATCTTCTAAGACCCGCGCGCTCCTCTGACCCTTTTCTTTTCAATTTTTCAATAATCTGTTTCAGCTTTGGTGGATTTTGACGTCTCTACTGAGTGGTTCCAGCGCGGCTTATTCCTCCTCTGTCGGGCATTTGGTGCTCTGGAAAGCCTTCGGTGTGTATTAAATAAATCTTGGCGGTAGCCACTTTCTTTGGTTCATAAAGCCTTCTCTAGTCAGTTTTGACTAAAAACCACCACAAAAAAACCGTATGCGGGACCGTTCCGGGGCGAAAATATGTTAGCACGTGTTACGCCTAAGTTCACGGCGTTCCTCCAGGTTGTACCGCCTGCAGATACACCACCGCCGACTCATCATGCTTACGTAAATCCCGGCTTGTAAGCATTCATTTTATATTCTGTTGACAGGGCATAAAAAAGCCAGTTTTATTTGTTTTTGTCCTTTTTGAAGCTCCAACCGGCCGACAGACTTGATGTTCCTGATTATCTAATCCTAAGCCCATTGCCTGCATTTGCAGCCATATATTTCCAAGACCGAAAACCGCAAACCTACTAACCTGTACCCTAGGCAAACCATCAACGTTCACTGCTGAACACCCTGTTTTCCGCGCCACGGGACTACCTGTCACACCAGTACATCCCACATCGCCCGCTGGACGCTGGAACATTTCCCTCACTCTCAAGCATCCGCAATGCCATCAGCATGCAACGATATGGCTGTAAAGTTTTTGCACTAAAGGTGCCAGAATTCCTGAACACCTGACTGACGTTTATTGATACACCATATTGTTGACCATCACCTGCTACATTGTATGCCTCCTTCCTCTGAAACCTGCCACTAATGTATTGGAAAAGTTTCAAGTGTAAATTTCTATAATGGCGGATAAATCTACTATTCACTTAAAAACACTATAAGCTTGAGGGCTGCTTCACGCGAGCCTCAGTAGCACTTGACGTGCTACAGTTGGCTTTTTCGACCCATCTCACAGCCTCCGAAACAGGCTAGAACACTTCGAGTAGGAGTACATCAGCAGACCATAGCTGATTCACTTTTGGAACAAAATCCCAGACGCGGTGCTGCGTGACCCCCCATCACTGACTTCAGCGCCGAAACGGTGGGTTTATCCTCAGTCTTCTCCCTTATCTCTCTACTCGCACCTCATCAATACTCTCACTCATCATAGATCGCCCCGGGCCCTAAACTGCCCCACAAAGTTTCCACGAGTATCCTTAAAACCCACTACCACTAATGTTGAAGTCCCATACATCTCTAGTCGTTCTCAAATGAGCAGCTCGAATCTGTGATCAGAATCAGCAACGTTCCAAGATGACCCTAAGAGCCTTTGGCTTGCTACCAGTACTGTTGAACATATCCTAAATCGTATTTCATTGTCGCAAAGGGCCATATTAGGCACCACTGACCTTGAAAATTGGAACAAATATGAAAGGAGCGCGGGTGTTATCGTCTCTGTTTATCCTCCCACTGATCAGTCCATTGGGTTTTCTGGGGGTTGGGACTGCACAAGAGTCGACTGTGTCGTCGGATTTCTTGGACAATAGTTTTTTCCGTAGACTTCTGAATCATGTTGTTGATCATATTCAAATGGCGAAAATACCTACTTCTCAGTCTGATCCGAGGTGGTTTACCGAGAAGATGAAGCAAAAATATGGATACAGTGGCCGTTCGTTTGTGCTATACGATGTTCTAGGTTTGAACACACAGGTACTAGAAAATCGCGTTCAAGATAAAAAAATTATGTGCTCATTTCAGATTCGTTGGAAGATCCACTATAACATTTCATTACTTTTTGCTCCCTCGGGCTGCGAAGGTGAAAGAAGTGGGCAAAAACGGACTTTAGCCGAATGTGGACTGGGAGAAGGACCGGTAACACAATGTTATTCTTTGTAATAGATAGCTATCGGAAGTCTCTGCTTTGGTTACGCATGATCCTTTGCTACCGATGGATAGCGCTTTCGTTATCGGAGAAGTTCGTGTGGTTCCACAACCCATGGGTTGGGGCGGATTACCACGTCATCCATCTGTAAGTGAAGGAGAAGTTTTCTGCTTTATTCAACCAAATGCTTCTATCACTTCATGACATTAAGGATGAACAATTTGACAACGTTTTTCATCTTTCAGAGTTTGTGTTTGGTTGTCAAAGCCTCATGAATCAATGTGATACAGTCGCTACAGCCCTTAAGTTATTTTGTTTCTCTCGTGTCTCGTGTTAAGGACAAATGCCGGTAATTGATTACTGAGGTATATGTACATAATTGCCATAATATACATTCGGATGCTTCTAAAATAGCCGCTCAAAAGTCACCCGGCAAGTGATTATATGCATCAACTTTCACACGGTCCTGTAACACTTGAACAAACTGGGTCGGGAGGGAGGTTTAGTGGACATTAGTATCCTCACTCGCAAGACAAGGTGTTTGCAAAAACACTGGATAAGTATAGACTACGGATATTAATGACGGAATATTATTGGTAGCCTTATTAGAAGGCAGAAGACCCAATTTTTCGGAAAGGCCGTGTACCTGAACCAGTCAAAAATTACAAGGAAGATCAATCTGCGCAATGAAAAACATCGGTGACAGTGGAATAAAATTTGTTGTTGACATGCAGCACACCAACCAAGCGATCTTCACGCTGCATTGATCATTGCTTGAAGACGAGAGCCTCGCCACCTTTACACAGGTATAGGAACAAGAAGAGTGTTATTGGACCCTGTCTTCATTACCCTCTCCACGTCTTTCTAGTTTCATCTAAAACTCACATTGCGGTAGCTTCAACTTATAGGCATATTGACGCAAGACACATTGATGTGGTTGAGCACTCACTACCGTCCATGTCTACCGCCATGCAATTTCAACGTTCCCCATTTTTTGTACAGTTTGACTTCAAAATACCTTGAAAGAGAAAAACACTAGAGAAAGCTGGCCAATAAGCTACCGGCGCACAGACTTTCCAGCCAGATGCGTTTCTGATTCACCGATAGGTATAAGTGAAGATCATCTTGACGAAAAACCGTACCATTTAGAACCAGTAATTGTGCTGTTTTTGTTGTTTCCATTTATTCACCTACCAAAGCTCCGATTCAGTGAATTATACAGTTCCATGAATGATTGACTATTATTTCGTCACAAAACGTGTATAATGCATTTTTATTCACCAAGGATCCTTATGCACAAACGAAGTGGCTCACTCTATTTGATTTAATCTCAGTAATTGACCATGCATCATGCTGGAATTCACTTGTTAACTTGGATGTTCCTCCCTCTCTGTCAAATTCACCCTTGCTCTTGATTCACTATATTTTAATTACAGCTAAAGGATACCTATTGAAACTATGTTGATTTTAACTTGCCGTCCTCGAAGACCAACTGAAGCGGTTGGCAGATAACAGCAGATATGCACAACGCTGAAAACTACCTATGTGACACTCAAAAACACACATAAACTAATCGGTAGACCCAGAACGGTCACTGGTATAAGACGTAGTCTTTTCTGATGGGTCCAAATCTTGCTGAATAGTGTGCTAACTCTCAGGTCAAACCAATGAAATCTATGATTGGGGGAGCATGAAGGGTCAGGGGCTTACCAAATGGGAAAAATCTGCGCAGCGTTGAATTCGCTAAAGAGGCTTTGAATAGACTGAAAAACATGGCAAAAATACTTTTTGTTAGTGAGCGGGCCAAGAATATTCTTAACATTCAATATAGCAGTCAGTTTCTATTTTTCTGTAAAAAAACTTTCAACATCAGTTTGGCCAACCAATAACTCTGGTACCACGTCTGTGAATCAGACTGCGGTTCCAAAGTTTTTCTACAGCAAAGCGCTGTGAGATAGCTAGACTAAGTGGGCTTCCACTAGTGTTAGTAAAGGATAGTACATGATCATTCAGGTATAGGAACAAGAAGAGTGTTATTGGACCCTGTCTTCATTACCCTCTCCACGTCTTTCTAGTTTCATCTAAAACTCACATTGCGGTAGCTTCAACTTATAGGCATATTGACGCAAGACACATTGATGTGGTTGAGCACTCACTACCGTCCATGTCTACCGCCATGCAATTTCAACGTTCCCCATTTTTTGTACAGTTTGACTTCAAAATACCTTGAAAGAGAAAAACACTAGAGAAAGCTGGCCAATAAGCTACCGGCGCACAGACTTTCCAGCCAGATGCGTTTCTGATTCACCGATAGGTATAAGTGAAGATCATCTTGACGAAAAACCGTACCATTTAGAACCAGTAATTGTGCTGTTTTTGTTGTTTCCATTTATTCACCTACCAAAGCTCCGATTCAGTGAATTATACAGTTCCATGAATGATTGACTATTATTTCGTCACAAAACGTGTATAATGCATTTTTATTCACCAAGGATCCTTATGCACAAACGAAGTGGCTCACTCTATTTGATTTAATCTCAGTAATTGACCATGCATCATGCTGGAATTCACTTGTTAACTTGGATGTTCCTCCCTCTCTGTCAAATTCACCCTTGCTCTTGATTCACTATATTTTAATTACAGCTAAAGGATACCTATTGAAACTATGTTGATTTTAACTTGCCGTCCTCGAAGACCAACTGAAGCGGTTGGCAGATAACAGCAGATATGCACAACGCTGAAAACTACCTATGTGACACTCAAAAACACACATAAACTAATCGGTCGACCCAGAACGGTCACTGGTATAAGACGTAGTCTTTTCTGATGGGTCCAAATCTTGCTGAATAGTGTGCTAACTCTCAGGTCAAACCAATGAAATCTATGATTGGGGGAGCATGAAGGGTCAGGGGCTTACCAAATGGGAAAAATCTGCGCAGCGTTGAATTCGCTAAAGAGGCTTTGAATAGACTGAAAAACATGGCAAAAATGCTTTTTGTTAGTGAGCGGGCCAAGAATATTCTTAACATTCAATATAGCAGTCAGTTTCTATTTTTCTGTAAAAAAACTTTCAACATCAGTTTGGCCAACCAATAACTCTGGTACCACGTCTGTGAATCAGACTGCGGTTCCAAAGTTTTTTCTACAGCAAAGCGCTGTGAGATAGCTAGACTAAGTGGGCTTCCACTAGTGTTAGTAAAGGATAGTACATGATCATTGTATCCTATTTTATTTGAATTGTTTAAACCTACTTTTGAGTAAGAGCACACGTAAAGTTAATCAATATCTCTATTAGGAAATTTACATAAACCGTTTGTCCTAACCAAAGGACTAAAAGTATTATGTCCATTACATTACAACCGCTGGCTCAACTAATGCTGCACTGCATAACTTCAGTAAGTAAGGCGCAAGTCCAAGGACGTCCAGCAGAACCTCTGCTAGGTAAGGGTACAATAAATACGTACTAGGCTACTGGTTTCCGGACTTTTCAGCTCACCCTCCTGAGTGTAGTATGTATGGACTCACTCCATATTTTTTGTAAAACGCGTAACTATTAAAATTGAGATTCTCTAAAACTTTGGAAAACGACTGTGATATAAAGTATATAAAGTATAAAGTAATTAAGTTTCGTACGTATATCGGTACAGCACGTATAGAATTGGCGAATATGTACAGCATATGGAATATTAAAACAAGAGAATAATGAATAGAGCAATGAATAGAGCATCAGTCATGTCATGTTCA